CCCCACTGTACAGAGTTATAATCTTGGAAGGCCACAGGAACAAGTCCACCCCATCCTATCCCTATCCTATGGGGTTGTTACGAGACGACATCCACTCGAAGGCAGTGAAATTTTTTTTTGTTTTTGGTTTTTTAGTTATAGCTGTAGTTCAAGTGACCAATAATTTAGTATGGATAAAAATCTGCCTGTGGTGTTTATTATAATGCAGATCCCCAGGTCCAGAGCATCAGATTCATTAGATTTGGTCCAGGCCTGGGTATCTGCATTTTAAACCAGCACAAATGAAAGAGATGAACAAATGCTAGTTGATGGGGAGTGGTGATTTGCTATGATGGCTTCAAATTCTATGTCTGTTAGAGATGTAATGTTGTTCATTCAGCATGTTTACATTTGTGCCAACAAATACTTGGATCAGTTGATTGTCTTTGTAGTAAGATGAAAAACCCATGGACTCCCCATGGTGGAGGAATGGTGGTGTTCTGACCCTCACTCTCACCCTCAACTCTGCAAGCCCGCCAGCACTGTGCCGCACACAGCCCCCGAACCAATTCCTCTTCCGGTCAAGCAAGCCCCTATGCCCACAGTTTACAAAGCCCACTGCAACTTAAAGGTTTGCAGCATTAACATGTTGCGACAGCACTGCCCAGTCACGCATTCCCATGGGACCTGCTGACTATGAACAACGCTGTGGCATTAGTTCCCTCACTCTCTGCATCTTAGACTCATCTCAGGTGGCTCATCTATCCCAATCTCACTTTAGTAGGTGAGAAAATAATTTTTTATTGATGAAAAAATAATTTCCCTTTGTTCTTCCCTAACCCTAGCTGTCTGAGTCACACATTCACAACACAGAACTTAGATATACATACATGTTTACCATTTAGGCTATGAATGGAGACTACTAAAATATAAAAAATTCTTGTGTGTAGTAAATTAAATTTTATGTGCTCTGTACATATTTAATAAGTGGGTAAGTTAACAGAAATAAATTTGTTCAACCATGTTGAGTCATTTAAAAACATCAACATCCTGTGAATGGTTTGCCTCTTTGGAGGTTCGAACTGCTGACCTTTTAAGTGTTTTACTACTGCACCATCAGGGCTCCTCTTTTAGAGGAGGTGCCAGTGACCTGGAGCCTTGCCTAGAATCCGTCAGAATTTCTCTGCCTAATCCTAGAGCCCCCAAGTGAAGGGGACATTAGTTCTATGCTTTCTGTGCCTTATCTTATTAGAAGCCCGAACAATCTTATACGGTGGAAACTGAGGCACAGAGATGGTTGGGAGGAGAATTCCATGCCTTGGAATCTGTTTCACTCCCAAGCCCAGGCTCTTCTTAACGTCCCCGAGGCTACCTCTTCCGCCACCTGGGGAGGGTGTGAAAGAGATTTTGGTTCAGAGACTTAGGGACCCTTATCCCCGATAATACTCAGAATATCTGACAAGAAACAAATGGAGCAGAGAAAATGTGCAAACTTGAAAGACTTGTTCCGCAAATATTTGCCGCGAATTTCTGTGTGGCTAATATGGTAAAAACTTAAAAGCCTCACTGCCCTCGCTTCCATTCCTACTCCTAGCAATCTTCTAGGACAGAGTAGAACAGCCCTGGGCGTTTCTAAGACTGTAACTGTTCATGGGCGTAGAAAGCCTTGTCTTTCTCCCGAGGAGAGGCTGATTTCAAACTGCTGACCTTACAGTTAGCAGCCCAGTGTGTAACCACTATGTCACCGGGGCTCCTTCAAATGGCTCCATTGAAAGCAAAACAAAACAAAACTGAACCCGCTGCCATGGAGTCATTGCTGACCCACAGTAAGCCTCGTAGGATGCAGCCTTCACAGAGGCAGATCGCTGCAGCCTTTGGGTAGCATGGGGGCGCTTTACCATGACACCGCAAGGGCTTCTTAAGGCTTCTGCTGCTAGCCCAGATATTGACTGGTGGAATCCATCTAGATAAACCTCAGAAGACAGATTGCTGAACTGCTTCCAAAGGTCACAGTCTTGAAAGCCAATGGAACCGTTCTCCTGTGTGCATAAGCGGTCATCGTGAATCAGAATCAACTCGATGGCAATTAATAATAGCAAAAATCATATGTGCTGGGTACCAGATCTGGACCCCGCCCCTTGGTCTCTCTGTCTCCTTAACTTACTCTGAACGGCCATTCCCATGCTACTCTAATCTCAGTTTTTAAAATGAAATGCCAATGGATTTCTGCATTGATGAAATCAATTCATTTGTTTTGCTCAAGAGCTCTGGTGGGTTAGTGGTTAAGAGTTGGCCTGCAGTCCACAAGGTCAGCAGTTCGAAATCACCAGCTTCCCTTCAGGAGAAAGATGAGGCTTTCTACTCCATCAAGAGTTACCGTCTTGAAAACACACAGGGGCGGTTCCACCCCATCCTGAGTTGGCATCGGCTCGAGGGCAGGGAGTTTGGTTTTCAGAGCTGTCCCACGGAGCTTG